CCACCACCGCTGCCACTCGCCTCTCTCCGTCTGCCCTGAACTCTTCTTCCTTGTTACCCAGCCCCGGTTGAGTAGTATGCCTAGCGACACTAGTTTAAACAACTGTGTAGCTTTTGTTAGTTAGCCTGTTTGTCAGTGAGTGTTTCTGTCCGTTAGTCATCCTTAGTTCGTATGTACTGTGTATTTTAATCAATTATTTGCTAGCGCTTCGCTATAGTTTTTAGTTAAGTCTCAATCCTTTCCAAAGCTCGGTTTTGCTTGTTCTGGTTAGCGACTTTAGTTATTGTAAATCCATTTTTTGTTATTAAAGAACTTAACTCCTGACTCTGTCGTTGTGCCTTGTTGTCCCGCACCTGAGTCTTTGTCCTGTTCGTAACATTCCACGTTTCAAACATACATTTATTACTAAAGCTATGTCTAGAATATCAATTATAAAAACACAGTGCTTATTTCTTGTCATACTTACAGACTTCTTTCAGCTGCTGTTGCCTGCACTCCATGAACTCCTTCAGCCACTTCACGCACTCACTCTCCAGGTAGCCCTGGGTGTACTCTTTCAGGACCTGGACGCCGTCCCACTTCCTCTTGGTTGGCAGCGCCGCTTCAACCGAGGCGATCCAGACGCCGTTTGCATCATCAAATGACAGGAAGTCGTCTCCATCGTAGTTGTACATGTCCATGCCATTGACAAATTTGAGAGAGCCGTCAGGCTGGACATCGCCCTCACAGCCATGCATCCACTGGAGAACATGGACGTCTGAAGGAAAGATGCAGATAAATACCCATCCAGATAAGATGCGATGGTGTGAATTATTAATTATTAAATGATTATTCAAGAGAATGCCAAGAGTGTGCGAAGCAGTGGCTACTTTGAAGAACCTAGAATATAAGACATATTTTCAGTTGTTTCACACTTTTTTGTCAAGAATATAATTCCACATGTGTTAATTCATAGTTTGATGCCTTCAGTGTGAATCTACAATTTTCATAGTCATGAAAATAAAGAAAACTCTTTGAATAAGAAGGTGTGTCCAAACTTTTGGTCTGTACTGTATATACGCAGTACAAACGTATTGTTTATGTTTCGTAGATCTTACCTGTGTCATTCTGCCTCATTCGCTTCATCAGAATATCGATGTTGACCTTGAACCACTGCTGCTTGCTTCGGCGGGACTGAGTTCCTTTGTCCCAATAATCCTGCTTAAGTCGCTCCTTCATCCAGGGTTGTTTGGGAACTTTCACCTTTGTCTCGCTGTCGTAGTAGTCGATGGGCCTGTCGTCCAGCAGACCCATGGCGGTGAACTCATGGATGCCCGGCAAATCGACGGGCTTGGAGAGGGCCGAATAGGTGTAAATGAGGGAATGCCTCTCTGAAAAACCACACACAGCGAGTTTTCAGCTGAGATACACCAGTTTTGAGCTCCGACTTATGAAAGCATCTCCCAAATATTCAGGTACAGAATGAGTCATAATGCTTGGACCTTTATTGGTTCAGTAACTGCTATACAGTGACTAAAAAATAAGCTACAAACTCTAAAAGTGACAGAAATCTGGGTGTCACCACCAATTCAGACTAAACATTTCATTGCCAACATCACAGGAAGTGTTTCTTTTCTTTTAAATTCTACAGTACAATAACATAACACACAGACTGAGCTTTTTCACTTTGTTAAGGAGTTTAATGGAAATTTGGTTTTCTATTTAAGTTACACAACTAACTTAAATAATAAATCCTCTTTTTAGAGACTTTTATCAAGTTGGAGTTTTCAGTTTAACACTTTACTATAAAAATCTTTTGTTTCCATTTCATGCTGTGCTGCATGACACACAGTTTGTCACAAAATTTTTTTTAAAAAAGATACTTTGGAATTTTTGGTGGAAAATTAATTGTTCAGATATATTGACAATATTTGTTGTTGTTTGGAAAGCTCAGAGTTAACATCGTAGGGAGAGGTGGTGGATCATACATTGCAATTAAAACAGAAAGGCTGAAAGGGCAGATTAGTTGGCCGTTCCTGGAAATGTTAACACCACCTGACTGGAGTTCCTGCAGTAGAAACACACCTATTGTCCGAAAATTAAATAACGCCTGAAATAAACGCTGAAGAGATGGCGCTGCAACTGTATTTATCTTGAGCTATTTTAGTTTTTCTTTGTTTGTGGTAATGCTTCCTTATCAAGAAAATTCAAAAAAGAAAAAAAAAAGGACTATATCCGCTGATATATCATTGAGGGACTTTTTTCTCTCAAGTGTCCGTCCAAAGGAAACAAGGAAATCCAACGGTGTTTTCTTTTTACAGCGCGTTTCTGCTTATGCAATGCATTCATGTATATGCAGCTCGTTTGTGTATATGTACGTCATTTGCCCCCGTCGGCCACCATATGCCAGCGGTTCAAATGAACATATAGTAGTTACAGTTTTCCCTGCCTGTCACTCAATGGAGACCAGAGAGGAGCCTGTGGCTGCACACAGGAGAGAAAAACCTCACACTGTTGGACCAATACTAGCGACACTTTCCAACTTACAGTCGCTAGTTGTGTCTCTAGGCGCTGAGTCTTTAACAGGGTCTGAAAAGTCGCTGAATCTAGCGACAAAGTCAATTGGAAGCACTGGGTTGCAGAACTGCTCTAAGCAGAAATGCAAATATGATTGCGTGATAGCGTCAGGTGGGGCACTGTGCCGGCTAGAAGCAGATCAGCACTCTGCCTTAATGCTGCCCACAAGACAAGGGGACAACAGACATGCATGCGTATAACTTTTAACCCATTTGCATTGGCAGGAGGATAAATAATTTTCCAAGTTAGCGTTTCCAGGATATTTGACTTGTTTTTTTTCTCTCTCATTTTCCATATGTTTCCATCCATCCATCCATTATCTATACACCGCTTAATCCTCACTAGGGTCGCGGGGG